CTTCATCCTCTGCCCTGCTCTGGCTAAGCTCAGAGTGGCATTTATGGACCTCAGAGGGGAATAAAGTGCATGCCAATTGGTCCATGGGTGGGTCCAGAAGAGGCACCACAAGTCCCCACTCCCATTGGTGTGGGTCATTTGGCCTGCAGCTTTCAGGCCCTCCCTGGCCTGAAGGTGGGGCCTTTCCTACTCTCATCTGCCTAGGAATCTGCCTCCTGCTGCCATTCATGGTCCCTGGGCTCAGCTGAGACTTTGCTTGGAGGTGGGAGAGGGTGCCTTCAGCAGGGAGAAACCAAGAAGCAGGGGAAGGCACTTCTGAGGCTCTGAGGGCAGGGGGTCCTTCCTGGGCCCCCAAGAGTGCGGGGATGCCTGAGTCTGCAGCTGCAGTTTGGGCAGCTACACTCAGGAGGGTGGTGCTCCTGCCTGCTCTGTGGAGTGAGAAGCCTGGGTCTCACTCCATGGTTTGGGCAGCTGCAGCAGTACCCAGGCAGCTCCTGCTGCAACTCAGAAGGGGCCAGGCTCCCTCTGGCTCCATGGATTGTGCAGCCCCAGCTGTGCCTTCCTGTTGCAGCTGGCATGATGGCAGCAGCAAGACGTCTCGAGTGGCCACTGCCATCAATAACAATCTGGTATCCAATTCATATTCAGATTTCCTCAACTGCCTTTTCTTCCAGATGTTATCAGTAGCTAATTTTTAAAACATTGAAAAGATATATTGAAACATCATACATTAACGGCTATTGCTTTTGCATCTCTTTTCATCTAGAACTGACTGTTCTCCCCCATATATCTTCTTTAACCATGACAGTGACTTTTTGAAGAGGGCCAGTAATAGAATATCTCTTACTCTGAATTTATCTTTTCCTCTTGGTGCCAATTACATTTTTGCTCTATCTCCTCTTTTTCATCTTAGTGAAAGTTAGTTGTAAGGTTTTGATTAGATTCAGGTTACAGTTTTGGCAAGAACACTTCATTGGTGATGCTGCAGAACTCATGGTGCATCATATCAGGAGGTAAGTAATAATGAATTCTCCCATTCTCAGTGGTGACAAGTTTGATCATTTTGTTGAAATAATGACCTACAGAGCTCACCATTATAAAATTGTTTTCTCTTGTGATCAGCATATAATCTCTGGGATAATACTTTGGAATCCTGTTTTTCAAACTTTAAAATTAGTCTTCCATATATTAGTTGTCCTTCCAAAAAGAAAATGTTTCACTTATTAATTAAAGATATAAATTATAGTTCCTTTTAAGAAGGTGGGAACATAAGATACAGGATAAATACTTAATTATCCTTTTAGTTACATTTTATCAGAGTAAGAATTTAGTATAATAATAGTCACCTCCAATGGTAACAAATGTCTTAACATCTTTTTTAAAGTATCATTATCAATGTATAGATCTCTATTTATTCAGTGTTTATAGTTAACTACAGTCAATATTCTTTTGAATATCCAAAAGAATGAATTTTATGTATGTAAATTATATCTTGATAATACTTTTCTAAAAATGAAGCAAATATGTATGTTTTACAATTTCCTTTCTTGATTACAAAAGATTAGCACACTATATATATACACTATTTTTCAGATTTCTTATTTTGCTTAAAAATCTATCATAGAACTTGGATGAATCTTGAGGGAATTGACACTGAATAAAAAGAGCCAGCTTAGAAGAGTTACATATGTGTGATTCTATTTAGAGGATCTTGAAATGATAAAAATATAGAAAGAGATAACAGAAAGTGGTTACTAGGGGTTGGGGAAGGGCATATGGCTGTAACTATGAAAGGGCAGCACAGCAGATACTTGTGCTGATGGGGCAATAAGAAAATATACTGACAGTTTAAACATTTCATAAGGTATTATCTTGTCAGTCTTATACAAATACATTTAATAACTTGAATAATGAGAATGACCTTCTATTTCTATGAAAATATAAATTTTCCAGAATTCGTAAGATGTCCCTGAAGACATAATCTACACAAACCAATTACCATGAGGCAAATAGAGATCTTATTGTCAATAATATCGTAGAGTTCTCGAGAGAAACAGAACTAATAGGATGTATATATATAAATATACAAGAGATTTATTATAGCAATTGGTTCACTCTATTATGGAGGCCAAGAAGTCCCCTGACATATTTTCTGTGAGCTAGAAAATCAGAAAAGCCAGAGGTGTAATTCAGTCTGAGCCCAAAGGCCTGAGAATCAGGAGGTTTCAGAAGGAGAGGAGTGAGTAGGTGTAAGTGCCAGAATCAAAAGACCGGAGAACCAGGAGCTCTGATATCTCAGGGAAGGAGAAGATGGATGTTCCATCTCAAGCAAAAAGAATAAATTCACCATTCCTCTGATGTCTTGTTTTATTAGGGCCCTCAACATGTTGGATGCCTCCTCCCGATGTTGCTGAGGGTGGATCTTGTTTACTCAGTCTACTGGTTCAAATACTAATCTCTTTTGCAAAAACCTTCATAGACAAACCTATAAATAATGTTTTACAAGCTATCTGGGTATCCTTCAGTCCAGTCAAGTTGATAGGTAAGATGAGCCATCACAAATATCAACAGCCTCTCCTTCCAATAAAATAGTTCTAGATGGATTTCAAAATCTTTAAAGACAGGCAATGCTGATGCTATTTATGTCATTCCAGAGCATGGTCAAAAGATGAAGGTGTTGAGATTCTTTCTAAGAGAAGAGTCAAACATTATTTGCAGGTGCTGGTATACCTGGAAAATTCTAGAAAATAAATTGAAATATGTTTATAAATAAGGAAATTCAGGATAGGGCTGAGAAAAAAAACTCATACTATCAAAGGTCTTCCTTTACATGTAAAACAAACAGTTAAAGATGTAAATGGAAAATCTCATGTACAGTAACAAAAAAAGTATGAAATCTGGGATTAAAAATAACAAAAAATGTGCAGTGGTGAAGAAACCTTAAAACCTACTGAAAGACTGAAAAGATCTGAATAGGTAAAAAGGTACAACCTGTACCTGAACAGAAGGGTGATGTTAACCACAACATAATAAAGGTAACAACAACAACATACACCTGTATTGAGCTCTCTTATTTGGCCTGTTTTAAGCCCTTTTCATCTTAATCCTCATGGCCTGCTCTTATAAGGTGGGCAGATGAAGAAACAGAAACAATGAAGTGAAGTGACAAGGCCATGCAGCAAGTGCAAGACCCTAAATTTTAATCTCTATACAACACTGCCTGAATTTCCTCTCAATTAACTTAAAAATTGAGATATAATTTATACACCATAAAATCCACCATTTAAAAATGTATAATTCAGTGGGCTTTGGTATATTCAAAAAGTTGTGCAATCATCACCACAATCTAATTCCAGAACATTTTCATCACCCCCCCAAAAGAAATTATGTACCCTGTATCAGTCACTGTCACTCCTCCTTGCCCCAGCCCCTGGCAACCACTAATCTACTCTCTGTCTCTAAGGACTTACCTATTCTGGACTTGAAAATATCTCAAAAAATGTAATGTGAGAATAGGCTCAATCAAAATTAAAACATATTTTAAAACTACAATGATTAAAACAGTGTGGTATTGGCAATAACTAGATCAATGGAACAGAACCATGAACTCAGAAAAATAACCAGTACATATGATAATTTAGTGTATAATACCAACAGCAATGCATATCAGTGGGAAAGAGACATTTAGTAAATTTACTAACATCAGAAAAAATTTAAGTTGAATTCTTATCTAACTTCTCAGAACAAAAGAAATTCCAGATATATCAACAGTCTAAACATAAAAAGGAAATCATTAAAATTATGGGAAAGTTGGGAGCTATAGCAAAATAATCTCAGAGTGGATATGAACATTCAGGAAGCAACCCAAATATAGCTGTACACAACAACATGCTTGAGTTTCACAAACATAGTGATGAGTTAAAGAAATAGGTATTAAAGAATAGTCTAAGAATCAGAGTATAATTCCACTCTTACAGAGTGAAGAATGAGCAAAATAAACTATATTTTTAGGAAAGCTCCCAAATGTGGTAAAATTGTAAAAAAAAAAAAAAAAAAAAGAAAGGAAAAATTATTTTAAGAAAAATCCCCATATAGTGGTTACCTCTGGGGTGATGGTGGTACTGAGAACAGGGAGGGACACATGAGAGGTTTCTGAGTGATGGCATTGTTACGTTTTTTTTAATTCATTGCTGGTTATGGGGCTGTTTATTTGATAGTTAATTATTAAACTATTCACAAAAGTTTATGAACTTTCCTGTAGAACCGTTATATTGCACCATAAGAGGAGAAAAGTCATTAAGGGGGTATAGATTGTGGTCTAGTATTTAGTATTATATCTTGGGTAAATTTTTATTTGGGTGTATTTATATTTTTCAAGCCCTTCTTCCTAGATTCCTCCAGATTAATAGTTTCTTATATTTAGATGGGTCTCTCTCTCTCTCTCTCGTGTGTGTGTGTGTGTGTGTGTGTGTGTGTGTGTGTGTGTGTATGTCTTTTCTCAAGGGACCCTGCAGTCCACTTTCTGGGAATGCATAATATCAGTAACTAATCATATTAGAAAAACATGATGGAAAGCCATGTGGTTAAGTGGTTGCTATCAAAATGCCATTCCACTTTTTGGGGTAAACCGGGCTTTACCTTTCTTCTAATATAAACTAGATTTCACTTCTAGATTTATAGAAAGCTGCTCTCCAATCCTGAGCTCATAAAATTCAATTTATTAACTACTGGATGGGGACGATACTCACTTTTCAAGGCTGTTGTGAGTTTAAAATAAGCTACTTAACTGTGGCTACTACAAATTTTAATGAAAAGGGTCAAGTTATAGCATAAATTGTTCTAGAACCAGATAATAATGTTCTTTCATTCCACAGATGTAACAGAAAACAGTTTGTAAAAATGGGTTTGATAGGGTTATCTGTTTGAAACCTTTTTCTCTTATTGTCTGACTGTTTTCTTTTTTAACAATGGATCCTGACCTTTCCTCCCATGTGTTCCAGGACATTTGTCTACCCACTGCTCAGTCGAGGGAGGCCTTATCCAGTTCTACTCATTTTCAAAGGCATTGCCTTCTGTGCTGGAAATGGATTCCTTCAAGGCTACTATCTGATTTACTGTGCTGAATACCCTGATGAGTGGTACACAGACATACGATTCAGCTTGGGTAAGTGAATCTGGCCACTTCTCACCTGCTCCCCAGCTAACAACCCTTCCCACAGTCTATGTTGCCATGGCCTCTCTCTACCGTAATAACCTAATAATCTCATTTTCCCCCGACCTCACACCTACCTTGGTCTTTTCTCTACACGGTAGCCAGAGAGATTGTTTAAATACATATCATGCCATTTCCTATCTCAAAACTCTCCAGTAGATTTCGTTTACTCTCAAGATAAAATGCGAATTCCTTCTCACAGCCTATAAATCCTAAATGCTCTTGGTCTTTCCAGTTTCCCAGCCTCTTTTCCTGGCTCCCTCCACCTCCTTTTCTGTGCTCCTGTGCCAGTGTCCTTCCTGCTGTGCCGGAACTTGTCAAGCTTTCCCAGCCCCAGTTTTCTTGTTCAGGACTGCTCCCTCTGCCTAGTACAGGGGTGTCCAGTCTTTTGGCTTCCCTGGGCCACACTGGGAAAAGAAGAATTGCCTTGGGCTACACGTATAATACACTAACACCAACAATAGCTGATGAGCTAAAAACATTTCATAATGTTTTAAGAAGGTGTACGCATTTGTATTGGGTCACATCCAAAACTGTCCTGGGCTGCAAGTGGCCCACAGGCTGTGGGTTGGACAACCTTGGCCTAGAAGGCTTTGCCCCCATATATTCATGGGATTGGTCCCTCACTATATTTAGGTCTTCACCAATTTGTACCTCCTCAAAGGGACTTTTCCTGACCACCCTATCTAAAATAGTTGAAGACACTGATTGTTGAGTTTTTTTTTTTTTTCATTTTCTTTAAGTGGAGTTAAAGTCCAGGAAGATTCATTTTTCTTTACACCATTTTGGCCTAAATGAAAAAATAATAGGATAGTGGGAATGATGCTTAATTCCTGTTAGAATCACACATCACATTCCTTCCATCAGTTTAGTACTTCTGGCTCTCCATCCAAAACATGTGCCGCTGGGGTCACTTTTCCCTAAATTACTTCATCCTAGTCCATGCTACAATCACCTCTTGCCTGGTCTTCCAAAATCACCTCCAAACTGAACTTTCTACCTCCATTTCCATCCTGTGCACTGTTTTCTCCACAAAGCAGTCAGTGAACATTCGAAAACACAAATGACCAGAGGATTAGCTGTGTGGTACTGGTATATGCATAGAATATTCTGTGACCACAAACACAAAGAAGAAAACACAAAACCAAAATCAAACCAAGCCAAGATCTCTGTGTGCTCGTGTGGAGACACCTCCAGAATCTATGGTTAAATAAAAACAAATAACTATGCATAGGATGCCCGCTACACATTTGTAAGTAGCAAGTATTGTATGCTACTCTTTATGTAGGAATGGAATAGAAGGATAATGTGTGTTGCTGTGTATAATTGGAAATTGAAATATTAAAATTGTAAAAAACTTAATAAAAAGTTTCCCTATGTATCTCAGGGTAAAGGGGGCAGAGTGGGAAGGCAGAGCTTTTCCTTCAATATAGTTTGTCCTTTTTGAATTATGAAATTCACTTTTTTTTTTTTTTTTTTGAGATGGAGTTTCGCTCTTGCTACCCAGGCTGGAGTGCAATGGTGCTATCTGGGCTCACCGCAACCTCCGCCCCCTGGGTTCAGGCAATTCTCCTGCCTCAGCCTCCTGAGTAGCTGGGATTACAGGCACACGCCACCATGCCCAGCTAATTTTTTGTATTTTTTTTTTTTTAGTAGAGACGGGGTTTCACCATGTTGACCAGGATGGTCTGACCTTGTGATCCACCCGCCTCGGCCTCCCAAAGTGCTGGGATTACAGGCTTGAGCTACCGCACCCGGCCCGAAATTCCACTTTTTAAAAATCCTAAATAGAAAAAAAGTTTCCTGAACTTGAGAACAAAGACACAAATGTACCTATCTTTTAATAAGATCAACTTAAAAAGTCCTAAGATTTTAATATAACCACATAGGAAAATGACTTACAGCATTTTACAGGAAATACAGTGGAAGTAAGCTGGTGGTAGTAAAAAAAAAAAAAGGGGGGACATTCTAAGGGACAACTGCCAGATCTCTTCAACAAGTCAATGTCCTGGAAAAAAAAAGCCATGGATCTGAGCTAGATTAAAAGAGTCTGGACATAACCTGCAGATGCTGGCATAATCTTATATTGGGTTTTGGTTTGCACAAACCACCTTTAAGTGGACATTTGGGAGATATCTGAGGAATTTAAAATATGGCCTGAATATTAAGTAAGATGAAAATCTGGAAGGATAGGCACTAAACTGTTTAATAGTAATAATTTGTGTGTGGTAGGAATAAGTGTCTTGGTTGCCTTATGTCTGCTAATTACTGCTCAATATTCTATACAACCTTTTTATTTCTTTTGCAATAATAATAAACAGAAATCAGACTCCATTTCTCTCCTGCTTAAAACACCAGGGACCTCCTATGTCACCTAAAAATGCAAACCCCTTACCAAGGTCTAGAATGCTTGCTGTGGCTTTTTCCTTAGCATCCTGTCCCCATCTCCTCCAGCCCACTCTATCCTCAAGCTTCAGGTGAACCAGGCTTTTGTCCTTCTTGTCCCCCTACCAGATTGCTGTCCCTCAGATTTTTTGCATTCTCATGATTCAGATCACAGGACAAATGTCAAATCTTCAGGAAAACTTTTCCTTAGCTACCTCACTTGAAATAGAGACAGCTCCCATCCCACTTTACTGTCTGTCTCATGACCCTACTTTGATTTTTCTGCCTTGCAGTGATCATTATGTGATTTTTTTTACTTTAATTTTTTAAAAACTCACGTGTGTGTTCCTCCACTAAAATGTAAGCTGCATGGCAACACATATCTTGACTGTTTTCTCACTCCTGTAACTCTGGTGCTTAGGACAGTGCTTGGTATGTAGTAAGCTCTCAATTAATATTAGTTGAATAAATGAATGACAGAATGAATGCATGGATGGTCTTCATACAATGCTTGTGAGATTGGTACTGTTAGAATTTACATTTTACAGATGAGGAAACTGAGGCTGAGAGAGCTGAAGTGACTTGCTCAAGGACACACAGACACCTGGTCCCAGGTCCCTGCTTTTCTCCATTGCTGTGTGTGCTGTCCCCCTTCCCTCCCTGCTCCCCTACCATCCCTCCTCAGATACCCTTTCTTCCAGGCCAATGATCTTTTGACGAGACAAGGTGGAAAATCCTTGTTTTGTACCATATCAAATAAGGTGAGAATAGACCTGATCGCTTTTACTAAACTGTTCTTGCTTTTTGCCTAATATATTTTGAAAAGCACAAATGTGCTTTGCTGGAAGGTCGGGTTGGACAGTGAGTGTTTCTGAGCTGTAATAATGCCCTTCGGGATGCAGGATCTAGCATCCCTGATCCTGGCTCTCCTCACCTCAGAACAGGACCCTTTCTGTACCAGTGGATAGTGCACGTGGAGACAACTCCAGGATATGTGGCTAAGTAAAATAAAAAAAGATGCGAACAGTGTGTGTCATATGTCAGGGTGTGTGTGTGTGTGTGTGTGTGTGTGTGTGTGTGAACTGACAGTGGTGGGAATGGGAATCAGTTTGTTAGTGGCCAAGTCCTCCAAACTAGCTCATGTTATTTTCATGAGAGCGAGTGTTTCAGTCAGGAATGTGCTCAGGAAACCAAACAGTAGTGACTGAAATAATTCAGAATTCATAGTTCTTACATAACAAGAAGTGTCGAAGTAGGTGGCTTCTGCATTCCTGTTGTTGCTTACCGACACCATGAATAACTCAGGCACTTTCTGTCTCCACTATTCTTAGCATGTTTACCTGTGGTCCTCTTGTGAGTCACTTCATAGTTGCAAGATGGTGACTGAGGCTCAAGGCATTACATCCGACATTCAAGACAGGAGGAAGGAGGAAATAGGGGCACTGGTCTTGCCTGCACCTTTTTATCAGAAAAGCAAACGATTTCCAAGGAAGTCCCCCCACCAAGACTTCACTTTACTGGTGAAACTAGCTCATGTGACCACCTTTCTCAGTCCAACCTCTATAGTGGGAGATGGCAAAGGAAAAGGGGCTGGAATTGGCTGTTGAGATATGCAACCTCAATTTGACTGTTTGTGAATGAGCTAAAGGCTTACTCTTATGATCCGTTCATTCATTTATCTGTTTAAACACTGGTCAATGGTGCTGCCTCCTGCTCTCCTCTCTCTTCCTGTCTGTCTCCATCGGTGGTGCCACTGTGCACTTTCAGCCTGAGTCTAGCAAACAGCACACCCGCTCCCCATTCAGAACCAGGACTCATTGCCCTCCCTGCTTTCTGCCATATCTTAGGACCATTCTTTAGAAATTAAATGCCCCTCCCTTCATTATTAGGAATTAAATGCCCCTCTTTCATTTTAGCTTAGCTTGTGAAAAAAGCACCAAAAATCTGCACACATTTAAAAAGAAATTCTCCTTTCTCTCTTCTTTGTCAAGGTGTCTTCTTATTTCTTTTGGGAATGGGAATCAACATTCATAGTGACTACATATTGTACCAGCTCAGGAAGCCTGGAGAACTCACCTATAGGATTCCACAAGGTAATGCCTCTCCTGCCCCCAGACTCCCATTCTTCCCTGGAGCCTGTCTCAAGAATGACACTATGGTAGCAGATGGAGAGGGGACAGTGAGAACACAGATGATGCAATGGCTCTCAGCTTGCTCTTGACTTCCCCTGCATACCCAGTCCCGTCACAACACAACTGCTCTTTTGCTCTGAACGCAGAAGCTCCAGAGAGCTGCCAGAGCCCTCAGGAAGGTGTGAGACCACAATACCCGGAAGGTGGGAGAGAGTGGGGGGTTTGAGTAGGTTGGAATCGGCTACCTGCAACCTCATTGCAGTAGGTAAGATTGTCATGTACGGCGGGCTCATTCTTTCTAGGTTTGCAAATGCTGCTGAATGTTTGACCAATAAATGTGTCCCCTCCAATTGATCTAGACTTGTCTTATGAGCAGTTAAGGGTAGAACGTGTGTATTTCATGCTACCGGTATACTCTTAAAGGTATAGAGAACCATATTTACTTGATCAAAACTTAGGATGGGAGGTCTTACATGCACAAGTGCATTTTTGGTGATAAAAAAGCATGAGTGCATTTTTGCAGCATATTTGTAATCTTAACTGTTCCAAAGAAACCAGGGTAAGAGATTGACAAATATACGCAGATAGGAGTGAATCAGTCCAAGTAATCCTTCAATAGATTTAGATGGGTATTTGTGTAGGTCTGTGGCTTCCACCCTTTCTGATGGAAATACAATCCTTTATTTACATTCAAAAATTGCCTCAATTATGACATGATGTTAGTGCACATTAATAGTAATTGAATAAGAAATTAATGACAAAGTTCCTATGAATTCAGTAACATATTCAAATGAATTTGAATGTTGTTAATATCCTAACAGTATATATATCAAACAAAAATAACTTAGTAGGTTAAGATGTGCTGTTCTCTGTATTTGTAAATGATTTATAGATCCTTTGCACTAAATCTATGGTTCCTCCCAGGGCCTAGAGAATAACAGGTTGGGAACCACTGATGCAATCTTATTTTCAAGAAAGATTCAACTCTAAGGAGCTTTGATTTTCAAAACATTCATTCCATAACTAGGTAAATAAAGAAAAGCAGAGAAACCACTTAAAAACAAGTTGCCAAGATTAGTTTCCAACTTTTGATTTATAATAGAGAATGATTTAAAAACCAAGTATTTTTACATAACTATAGAAAGGACAAAATTGTTTTGGTTGAAACTTCCCTAGTTTTATGTGGATCATAAAATTTGAGTGCGGATATATTTAATATCATTAGAAATATGTTGATTTCTAGATATAGTTCTGAGAGAAGAAATACCTGGTTGGATAGAAAATAAAACATTTAAAATCAAGAAGCCAACCTCACCAGCCTCCAGCAGGACTAATACCTGTAGCTCCTACTCCCTACTTTAAACATGAACAGAGTAGAGTGCTTTGCAGAAGGGTGGGGAGGGGCGAATCCCAAAAAAGAATCTAAATTCCTTCTCTCATAAGTTCAGATTTGTATTATTTTAATGTAGTGCGCAGTTTCACGTTTTGGGACTGTGAATGTGAAAGTGTGAGTGTGTCCAGGAAAGAAGTGGGGATGTAAGAGGTGGTCCCTTCCTTAATAGAATGAAACAAAACCCAGACCTCCCACACCTCTCCCTTGTCCTACCCAAAGTTAATGGTCCAGCAGTTGTTAGAGATTTGGATAGAGCCCGTTAAGCAGTTGGGGCCACTCTTCGCAACTCCAGAATGCTTTCCAGGAAACAGGCTGTTGTTGCTTTGCTTCCCCTTCTCCCCAAGAGGATTCCACCAAACTTCTAAGACTATGGAGGGAGTCTCCAGCCCCACATTTGTTCTTGGTGCCTGTGTGTATTTTGGAACAACACAGAGGGGTTTAATGTCACAGTGATTCAGCTGCAATAATTGACCTACCAATTCTTCCGCACGCAGGTGGCATGTTTACGTATGTTTCTGGAGCCAACTTCTTCGGTGAGATCATTGAATGGATCGGCTTTGCCCTGGCCACTTGGTCCGTCCCAGCACTTGCATTTGCATTTTTCTCACTTTGTTTCCTTGGGCTGCGAGCTTTTCACCACCATAGGTAAACTTTCCAATAAAAGTAGTTGCATTCACGTAGCTTTTTTTCTTCTCTAAACAGGCTTTTAACCTGCAGAGCAAGGTTTAGAAACCAAAGATATTTATTATGATAAGGGAAGGTTGATACAATAATCTGGGTTAGTATATTCTGACATATTGGGCTTTTATTGAAGTTGGAAGTTAGCTGGATGAGAGTAGCAGTAGTAATTTTTTTTTCTAAGAACAAAAATAAGTCCATGGAGACAGAGGTAACTGAGGTGATGGCCAGGAAGGCCCTGTGCCTGTCTTGTCGAAGAAGACTGTCCAGCAAGAAGTGCTTTGCACCAACATTTGACCAGGCTGTGTGCCCGCCAGGCAGGCTTACCTGGAGACGCTTAGATAAATCTTCAAGAAGCAGCAGCAGCAGCTTCCATTACCATGCTTCAATTTCATCCTCTCCCACCACATTTCTGGAAGTGTGTTCCATGTGCGGGACCATGGCCAGCACTTTCCAAAGCTCACAGATAGTTGATAGTTTTTTTATCTTTTTTTAAAAAAATTTTACTTACTTTTATTTTTTTTTTCGAATCAGAGTCTCACTCTGTTGCCCAGGCTGAAGTGCAATGGGTGATCTCAGCTCACTCCATCTCCGGTTCAAACAATTCTCCCACCTCAGCCTCCCAAATAGCTGAGACTGCAAGCCCACCACCATGCCCAGCTAACTTTTTGTATTTTTAGTAGAGGCAAGTTTTCACTATGTTGACCAAGCTGGCCTCAAACTCCTGATCTGAAGTGATCCACCTGCCTCGGCCTCCCAAAGTGCTGGGATTACAGGCATGAGCCACCGTGCCTGGCCTCTATTGATAGTTCTGAGTCATAGCAGGCTAGCAAGCTACTAAAAAAATACTATCTTGGTGCCTATGTGGCTGCTATTTTTGGCTACAAGATTTAGTGCTAACAGTTCGGGTAATCACAGATCCCTGGAAACTCCAGAAAGATTATTTCCCCTAGAATCCGTGCAATACCAGTGTTTATTTTGGTACTGCCCTCCTTCCCTGACACCCACCCTCTATAAGTCATAACGAGGGTCAACACCGGCTTCTGGGGAAGGTAGGACAAACAATCGCATGTGTGGGGCAATCTTAGGACTGCCCCATCTGCTGGGAAATGCTAGGAATTGCAGGTGTTTCAGAACCCACCCTCTGAAGGTCTGGCTTAAGGCTTCACTAACCCGCTAACCTGGGGTGGGGTGGGGACAAAAGAATTAACTAAAAGCATTGCTGGAAGTGAAAGGTAACGTATTAAGTTGTTATCAGGCTTTAAATCCAAGTGTAAATTTCAGATTCTTTCCCTAAAATACCTTTTGTGGAAAGAGAAAGCCTATAATTACTGGAGACTGTATGGATACTCAAAGAAGGAATGTATGGACCAGAACCCTAGGGTTATGATTCACTGCCTAATTTTGAAAGTTTAAGTAAGATTGAGTTTCTTTTTTTCTGAGTAGAATTGTTTGAGACAACAGTTCTGAAATGAATGAAGCAACAGCTCGTGACCTATTCCTACCACTTCCTAGACTCTGTGGGGAAGAGTGGCAGAACGTTCCTAGTCCAAAAGAGAGTCAAAACAGTTCTTACTGTCATATGTAAATTTTCAGTGCCACAAAGAAAAGTCAGCACTGGGACAAAGGATCTCTCATCAAGACAATCTTTACTTCTTGTACAAAGGTTACACTCACCAGCAGTCTTGCCATGAGAGTACAACAAACAAAGGAAAAGCAGACATATTTATCCCTTATGCATTTGGGGTCATCCTTACTGCTGTGTCTGATCTCTGTTGGTTGGAGCCAGACCTCACAATCTAAACTAAAACCTGATTGGCTAACAACTTAAAACTTTTCTAAACAGGTAAAAGCAATGTAGAACAGAAGGAAAAGAGGAAGTCTGGCTGGGTGCGGTGGCTCAAGCCTGTAATCCCAGCACTTTGGGAGGCCAGGGCGGGTGGATCACGAGGTCAAGAGATCAACACCATCCTGGTCAACATGGTGAAACCCCATCTCTACTGAAAATACAAAAAATTAGCTGGGCATGGTGGTGCGTGCCTGTAATCCCAGCTACTCAGGAGGCTGAGGCAGGAGAATTGCCTGAACCCAGGAGGTGGAGGTTGCTGTGAGCTGAGATCGCGCCATTGCACTCCAGCCTGGGTAACAAGAGTGAAACTCCGTCTCAGGAAAAAAAAAGAAAAAAAAGAAAAAAAGAGGAAGTCCAAATAAGGAAGGGACAGGAAGTTGCTTAGGAAAGGACTTAGAAAAGTAATAGCATAAATATCTTTGTTAAAGTACAAGGACATAGAATATACTACCTGCCTGTAAACATGTCTAGCACAAGTATCTTGGTTAAAGTACAAGGACATAGAATGTACTACATGCCTGTGAGCCTAATAGCTACATAGGGTAGGGCTTACCAGAGAGCTACTAGCAAAAAGCAAGAAAGCTTTGAAGAACGTGTTTAAAACAAACTCTTATTTCTAACACTTATTATGATTATTCTTTAATAAGAAAGGAAACTTTGAAGAGGAACTTTTCTACTTCCCACATTACCATTTCAGGCTGAGTGTGCTGCCCACCAGAGGCAGAGTGGGAATGGGAGAAGAGGCAGAGTGGGAATGGGAGAAGAGGCAGAGTGGGAATGGGAGAAGAGGCAGAGTGGGAATGGGAGAAGAGGCAGAGTGGGAATGGGAGAAGAGGCAGAGTGGGAATGGGAGAAGAGGCAGAGTGGGAATGGGAGAAGAGGCAGAGTGGGAATGGGAGAAGAGGCAGAGTGGGAATGGGAGAAGAGGCAGAGTGGGAATGGGAGAAGAGGCAGAGTGGGAATGGGAGAAGAGGCAGAGTGGGAATGGGAGAAGAGGCAGAGTGGGAATGGGAGAAGAGGCAGAGTGGGAATGGGAGAAGAGGCAGAGTGGGAATGGGAGAAGAGGCAGAGTGGGAATGGGAGAAGAGGCAGAGTGGGAATGGGAGAAGAGGCAGAGTGGGAATGGGAGAAGAGGCAGAGTGGGAATGGGAGAAGAGGCAGAGTGGGAATGGGAGAAGAGGCAGAGTGGGAATGGGAGAAGAGGCAGAGTGGGAATGGGAGAAGAGGCAGAGTGGGAATGGGAGAAGAGGCAGAGTGGGAATGGGAGAAGAGAAGGCAGCACTCAGCACTTGGAGGTCCCTGGGAAGTGTGGACTCCACCGTGCTTGGTTAGCGGAGGGACAGTAATTCCACCAGACGTTTTCAGCTACTGCAACAACAAAACCAAACTGAGGCCTCATCCTGTTATGTCAGACAACCAGAGAAGGGCCAAAGGGCATAGTTTTTAAAAAGTTAACAGATTTTGTGAAGGCTCCTATGAAACAAAGGCAGGCCTTCACAGCAGAGGCAGCATGCACAGAGGCACAGAGGCGGCCCGCCAGACTTCTCAAATCATAGTCCCAAAACCCAGCCACCTTTTGTACCTTATTATTTGCCCCCTAATTCAAACTAAATTACTTTAACAGAGTGTATCATCTTGATTATACCTCGAGGGCTACTTTCACCAACTGGTTAGAAGGACAGCCTGGCAACTTAAGGAGAAAGGATTCTTTAAGATGCATTTGTCTCCTGTGGTTGCTGCAACACATTACCACAAACTGGGTGGCTTAAAACAACACAGGTTTGTCCTTTCGCAGTTCTGGAGGCTAGAAGTTTGAAATCGAGGCACTGGCAGGGCCATGCCCCCTGTGATGGCTCTAGGGAAGAATTCTTCCTTGCCTCTTTTTAGTTTCTGGTGGTGGCCGGTAACGCTTGGCGTTCTGTGGCTTACAGCTACATCACTCCAACCTCTGCCTTCGCCATCACATGGCCTTCTCTCCTGGGTGCCTCTGTCTCCGTCTCTTTGTCTCTTATCCTCTTCTTTTTAGGACACAGTCATATTGGATTAAGGGCACACCATTCTCCAGTATGACCTCATCTTAATTGAATTATATCTGCAATAGTCCTAGTTCCAAAAAAAAAAAAAAAAAAAATTACACTCTCAGGCACTGGGGGTTAGGACTTCAACATGTCTTTTGGGGGGACAAATTCAACCCATAAGACAAGGTGATATTTTGTTGGCATTCCCAGGCCTCATGAAAGGATATTGGGGAATATTACTGGTTCTCTTTGCCCATCATCTTTGCTTCCCTGTATTTCTCAGCTGAATCCAAATGAGTGCCTCCTTCTGGATACCACATGTTAAAAAAATTCTGGTAAAATATACATAACAAAAATGTTACCACTTTAGCCACTGTGAAGTGTAAAATTCAGTGGCATTAGGTACATTCATAGTGTTGCACGGCCACTGCCCTCTGCCTATTACTTTTTATTTCCCAGCACAAGAAGCTTCAGGATTTATAAGAAATAGGCTGTGGGAAGGAGAAATAAGAATCATAAATGACCATCTGAAATAGTCAGGCCCTAACTACCTGTAGGTTGACTTGTAACAAAGATCTTGGACACAGCAAACCTCAGCTGTCAGTCATGGCTCCATTGTATTTACAATTATTTCTTTCTTGTCTTTTAGGTTCTACCTCAAGATGTTTGAGGACTACCCCAAATCTCGGAAAGCCCTTATTCCATTCATCTTTTAAAGAAGCCAAATTAAAAAGGAGCAAAACTCCTACAGTGCTGATGAAAACTGTCAAGCTGTTGAAACTCTAATTTTCATGATATAGTAGTCCTCCATATGTATGTGTATGTGTAAATGCATAATAGTACATCTCCTGGCATTCTGCCAGCTGGCCTAATTCCCAGCTGGGGATGCTGAGTGGTGCCTGCTTAGAGTTTACCACCACCCTTCCAGGGATCCCTATGCTGATCTCCAACCGAACCTTCAAAAAGCCCCTTTTCCAAATGGCGACAGTTGCTTCTTAGCTGTTGCTCTGGGAAAGTACAAACTTCTTCTTTTTCTTTCCCTGGGCAATCTAAGTACGTGTGACTTCACATTCATTCCCTAACAGTGGAGGACAACTCTGTAGTGAAGAATTTTTTGGCTTGAAGGCAGTGCTTACAGACCTTATTAAATGCATTTTGTATCCAGACAGAGTAGCAGAGATTTAAATTCTGAAGTCACAAAGACCCAGAGCAAACCCACTCCCCAATGAAAACCCCGGTCATGTCTTCCTTTTTCTTGGTTAATCGGGAAAGATAGGAAATTATTAGGTAGACCTTTAATACAGGAGCCCTCTCCTCATACTGTTGAAAAGATACTGATGCATTGACCTCATTTCAAATTTTTGCAGTGTCTTAGTTGATGAGTGCCTCTGTTTTCCAGAAGATTTCACAATTCCCAGAAGACTGGTATGAATTTTCTTGAAGGCTGGGTTTTAATAACAGAATGACATGACCCTGGATGGCTACTGAGAGTGGGGAGAAGAGTTTTATAATAGACATTGCAAACTCCCATGTCTTGGAAACTGGTGCCAATATCCACATAATGAGTAAATGTGAAGTAAAGAGAATTAATGATGAGGTTCCGTGCTGCTTGCCTCCACCAGATGTCCACAGCGATGTGAAGCACAGCAGAAGCCCCGAGCAGCTTTCCTTTCCTGGAACTTCTTCATTGGAGTTCTCAGGACCTGTTCACGAAGGTGTCTGCTATGGGCAGCTTGGAAGCCACCCCTCAAATCACAGGATCTGAAGGCAGAGGTTGAAAAGTGCAGACTGAGGGGCACATCTAGGTAAAAAACCTCTTTTGTTTGGCTCAGACATATAGTTTTTTTTTTTTTTTTACAAAGTTTCAAAAACTTAAAAATTGGGGGCTTGCTTCATGAAACGCTAGCATTCTAGTTTCATTAAAACGTTGGAGAATCTGAGCATATTGAGCCCACATTTCCACACCAGAACTGGAACTATGTGGCCAGTAAGCATTTCAGTTTGCAAACTCTTGTGAGGGGTCACCCTTCCAAGGGTGCTGAGATATGGGACTCTCTAAGTACGGGGCTGAACACTTGTAATTGAAATACGTGTGTGAGCAAAAATCAAGAAATTGTTATAGAAAAAAAAAAAGAAGTATGTGGAAATATTTGTCTTTTCAGGCCTATGTGTGTGGAATGCATTACCAATATTTAGCCAACTGTTTTGAGAAACGAGCACCAGAAGTGCTAAGTATAGAAACTCACTGTATAAGTCACATAGGAAACTAGGAAGGTCTGAGATGATGTAGATTACTGAAAAATACCAATTGTAACCATATAAATAAATGTCTTTGTTGTTCATTAAATGCCTCTACAATTATGGATCTTAAGTAATTTTGTTTGAATTAAAATATCCTGGGACTTCTAGAATTTTTCACAAGGTATTGATTTCCCTGCTCCTGCAGGCCCCTGTTCCCATTCACCTTGTCTGTAGTGTTGTTTCCTTCTTCTCTTCTCTCTTTATGAAATTAGGGGCTATGTGCTGGAAATAAAAAAGCATGACTTATAGAGCCTCTCAGCCACAGTTCAGAACTACAAGGAAGTACAATAAAGGCGCAGGAAAACATCCTAAGTTTAGACGCCACTCCTGGTGCTCAGGCTTACACAGGGGAAAATAAAGCTTCAGGTGTAGCTTGAGCTCTGTGACGTAGAAGACTTTCAGTTCTTCTCTGTCATTGAAAACTAACTTTCTTAAGTGCTTTATTTTACTACCATGTAAACATCCAGGCCGAGATGAAATAAGTGTACAATAAATGGCGGTACTCACAGTCTCAGGACAATGCTGCCATTGGCCATTTTATTTTATTTTTGCCACAAGAGGGCACTTTCTAAAATTGCATGTAGTCAACCTTGACTTAATTAGGTAATTAACATATTGGGGAAACCCCAATCCAGTTGCCTGATGGTGGACCTTTCAAGACAGCATGATCATGGAACTTCTTAATCTGAATATAGGGTAGGAGAGGGTGACCTCTATGAAAGCTGAAATCTTCCCTTGATAATTCAGGTATTCTCAGTGTTCTAGGGCCATCATGTTCAATGATAGTTTGTCATTGTTTAGGGCTGGAACATGTATGTGGATTAAATACAGTAAAGGTCTGAATGTGTGCTCATCTCTCAATATATTTCTTCCCACTTCTAAAAATAGAGTGCAACAAAATTATAGTTAATTGAGGTTTCCACGGAGTGGTTTTGGCTAAAGTAACGTAACAGTGTCCACCAGATAATCTGTCTTGGTTTTGCTGAAGCTTTCACAGAAGAGGCGTTTTCCTGCCAACCTTGAAGAAGATGTTGAGTTTTGTTTGTTTTTCAGAATTTAGACTTAAAGAGCCGAAGCAGACCTCAGAAATCAGCTACTTCCACCACTTCATATTATACGTAGTGACACTGAGACCCACATAGTTAAAAGGGCTCCCCATAGCTGGTACAGAGCTGGTCAGAGCAGCCATCTCAGTTTGCCCTTTTGAAGGTCAGAAGTTCTCTTCTTCTGCTTAAGGCACAGGCCTTTAGGGCTGCCATCTGGATTTCTACAGAGCTCATGCAGGAGAAAAATAGCCAGAGCTTAAGTGCTATTGCACAATTCAGTTATACACCTATTGTCCCATGCCTGTTTGTGTGTGAGGCTTGCCTCGCTCTGTGGGAGCAACAGGCTCATGCCCTTTCATAAATCTATTTGACGGAATAGAGAGTTTTCCCTCCTCGGTGTAGTCAAGACAACATGGATGTTTAGCATGGAAAAAGGTTTCAAAACCCCCTTATCCCTAATGCTTACTTTCGTAAAGAACGACCCTGGCTCCACTGTATTCTAAATGGAAAAAAAGGAGCTCTAATGAGAAATATGCAATTAAACAGTGATTTAGGCGGCTTAGACCCTTTCAGGAACAAATAAATAAACCTATGATTTTACAACCCTGCAATATGATAAGAGCTCTCTTGGATTTTTGTGGTTACCTCATGGCAATCTCACTAAGAAGCAGGGGAGCAAGCTCTTGGCACATGAAGGAATAGACTCATGAAGAGCCATTCCCTTTCCGGCTTGGTCCCTTGTTTCTCTAATAAGCTATGGGCTGAGGTCCAGGCAGGACAAACAAGGAGGGTAACAGCAAATGTAAAGCGAATCTTTCTAGAGAAGGACACTGGTTATTTTATAGCATCTACACTATCTATGATGAAAGAAAGAGGCATAGAGCCAGATGGCACTGTGAGTGCTTGGATGATTTAATAAGCCATTGAATGGATATAATTTCTAAGTGAGAGATTTGTTCATTCTTTCTACAAGTCCATGGAGTTGTGATCTTAAAAGGTTCTATGTTATTTGTATTGCACCTCATTTCTCCCCATCAACCTTAGCTTGGGATTTGGATGAATGAAATAAATCATCAGTGAAATAAATCATTTTTTATTGAATGAAATAAATAATCAGAAGGTTAAAGTATGCACCAAGCTGTGTTAGTTTATTTAGTCCTGTATTTTTTGGGTTCAGGTTTTGTTTGGTTTTGTTCAATGCAGTCAGAATCTAGATTTTTTATTGGAAGGGTATTCAATATCCCTTCCGACCTGGCAAGCTGGCTGGGAGGAGAAGAACAAAGAAAGTGGAGGAAGGAGGGGAGTAATGAGGGAGAGTGTATAAGGGAGGGTTGGCATTGGAAGGTCCTTGGGAGACAAGGGCCTCCCACTGACAGAGTGGGCATCTTCCCTTTGCTGTGTCTAGGCTGGACAAGCCTGGTCCCTTCTTTATCCCCCCAGGAAAAGAAGCCCCTCTGAGAGAGAGAATAAACACTTGTTAGAGCTCCATTTCATAAGAAGCCGACTTTTAAAAAACGCAAGCCATATGGCTGTGCTTCACTATAAATAATCGTATTTCTGTCAGCTCACCTCGTAAAGATAGTTTTAGTCCCACGTAGCAGTGACATTGTGAGAAAGAGGTGAAGTAATTGCACTGAGAGTGTGTGGCAGCATCCAAGTCTGCTGAGGCCAATGGGGAGATGGGAGCATCCAGAGGAATAAGCCACCGCCAGGGTTTCCCTTTTCAAAGCCTTTGTTTTCCTTTACTCCAGAAATACTCCTCCAAAAAAAGAATCCTTCCCTATGGAGATGCATTTTTGCAGTGTTGACTAGAAAGCAATACCATACAATCAGTTAAATTTTGGCAATTTATTAATGCTTTCATTTGTTACAAGTTGCCTTTCAGATACTGTTTCATTAAAATAATTATTTGTTGTGGTTTATAACAGGATAATCTCTCAACAAATAAGTAAATGAGGGTAAGTAAAAATAGGAGTAAAACATAAAATAATTGGGAGGCAGAGGTGGGCAGATCACTGGAGGTCAGGAGTTCAAGACCAGCCTGGGCAATATGGTGAAACCTCGTCACTACTAAAAATACAAAAATTAGCCAGGCAAGTGGTGGGCTCCTGTAATCCCAGCTACTTGGGAGGCTGAGGCAGGAGAATCGCTTGAACCTGGAAGGCGGAGGCTGCAGTGAACTGAGATCACACCATTGCACTCCAGCCTGGGCAACAAGAGTGAGATTCTGTCTCAAAAATAAAATAAAATAAAGCCAAAGATAAAGTTAAAATGCGAAAATGCCCTCCAGAAGATCATGGACAGTGGCTAAATCTAAACATAAATTGGGTGCTGAGTCTTCAAAGTACAGAAAGAAAATGCCAGTTGCTAAATTCACAGCATTCATAAAAGAAAAACAGCTTGACCAGGGAAGCACAACTATTACTGGTACTGAGACTCATGATAAATTTCTACACTGTGTGATGTGGAAAACTACATTCATGAGAACATCTTAACTATAAATTCAGGGGTCACTTTGCACAGCTTCTTATAATGTCTTTCCACAAGGACAATATGCTCATGCCACAGCTCAATTCTTTGGAAGCAAAAAGGATGAGAAGGTTTTTTTCCACTTAGGATGGAGAAAGCTACCAGAGATAATCACCCCTACTCCAAAAATGAGAAAAAGCCAGATAGTCTATACAATTATAGCTTTTTGAGCCTTTTAATGAACTGAGATAGGAAAGCAATCAGAAGAACTGAATTTCAAAGGAAACACACAAACGGGTTCACTTTCACAGAGTATGGGAGAAAGAGATAATGGCCATAAGAGTGGGAAAGAAGAAAACAACAGAAATTTCAATGGATTATCGATAGCTGAGAGGAAACTAGCATGAGTTTAGAGTCTCTAGGAGCCTCAGACACTTGGCCGATCAAGCATCCAGATCTGCCCCAGGATGAGGGGTCTCCTGGGACACAGGACTTTCTGTGCTCAAACTGGAAAAGTCCTAGGCAAACTGGGATGACCTGGTCACCTTAGTCTGATTGCTGGGTCTTTTGCAGGATCTTTTACCCTGACCTCCACCTGGAGCTTATGAGATGGATTGGGGACAGGGAAGGAGACCTGAGAGGGCCCTTCCTTGATGGTGCACAGTCACAAAAGCCCACTGTATTAGTTCGTTTTCACACTACTGATAAAGACATACCTGAAACTGGGAACGAAAAGAGATTTAATTGGACTTACAGTTCCACATGGCTGGGGGCGGGGGGCTCAGACTCATGGCTGCAGCAAGAGAAAAATGAGGAGGAAGCAAAAGCAGAAACACCTGATAAATCCATCAGATCTCATGAGACTTATCCACTATCACGAGAATAGCATAGGGAAGACTGGCTTCCATGATTCAATTACCTTCACCTGGGCCCCTCTCAAAATGTGGGAATTCTGGGAGATACAATTCAAGTTCAGATTTGAGTGGGGACACAGCCAAACCATATCATTCCACCTCTGACCCCTCCCAATATCAAGTCCTCACATTTCAAAACCAATCGTGCCTTCCCAATAGGTCCCCAAAGTCTTAATTCATTTCAGCATTAACCCAAAAGTCCACAGTCCAAAGTCTCATCTGAGACAAAGCAGGTCCCTTCTACCTATGAGCCTGTAAACTCAAAAGAAAGCTAGTTACTTCCTAGATACAATGGGGGGTACAGGTATTGGGTAAATACAGCTGTTCTAAATGGGAGAAATTGGCCAAAACAAAAGGGTTACAGGACCCATGCAAGTCCAGAATCCAGTGGGGCTGTCAAAATTTAAAGCTCCAAAGTGATCTCCTTTGACTCCAGGTCTCATATCTAGGTAACACTGATGCAAGAGGTGGATTCCCATGGTCTTGGGCAGCTCCGCCCCTGTGGCTTTGCTGTTTTCCCTCTTGGCTGTTTTCATAGGCTGGCACTGAGTGTCTGTGGCTTTTCCAGGCACATGGTACAAGCTGTTGGTGGATCTACCATTCTGGGGTCTGGAGGCTGGTGGCTCTCTTCTCACAGCTCCACTAGGCAGTGCTCCAGTAGGGACTCTGTGTAGAGGCTCTGACTCCATAATTCCTTCTGCACTGCTCTATCAGAGGTTCTCCCTGAGGTATCCCCTGTGCAGCAAATTTTTGCCTGGGCATTCAGGCGTTTCCATACGTCTTTTGAAATCTAGATGGAAGTTTCCAAACCTCAATTCTTGACTTCTGTGAGCCTGCAGGCTCAACACCACATGGAAGCTGCCAAGGCTTGGAGCTTCCACTCTCTGAAACAGCAGCCAGAGCTGTATGTTGGCCCCTTTCAGCCATGGCTGGAGTGGCTGGGACACAGAGTGCCAAGTCTCTAGGCTGCACACAGCACGGGGACCCTGGGCCTGGCCCCATGAAGCCACTTTTTCCTCCTGGATCTCCTGGCCTGTGATGAGAGGGGCTGCTATGAAGGTCTGTGACATGGCCTGGAGACACAGTCCCTATGGTCTTGGGGATTAACATTAGGATCCTTGCTACTTAAGCAAATTTCTGCTGCTGGCTTGAATATCTCCCCAGAAAATGGGTTTTTCTTTTTCTATCATATTATCAGGCTGCAAATTTTCTAAACTTTTATGCTCTGCTTCCCTTATAAAACTGAATGCCTTTAATAGTACCAAAGTCACCTCTTGAATGCCTTGCTGCTTAGAAATTTCTTCCACCACATATCCTAAATCATCTTTCTCAAGTTCAAAATTACAGAAATCTCTAGAGCAGGGGCAAAATTCCTCCAGTCTCTTCAAGAAACATAACAAGAGTCACTTTCACTTCAGTTCCCAACAAGTTCCTCATCTTCATCTGAGACCACCCCCGCCTGGCCCATATTGCTAACAGCATTTTGAGCAAAGCCATTCAACAAGTCTCCAGGAAGTTCCAAACTTTCCCACATTTTTCTGTCTTCTTCTGAGCCCTCCAAACTGTTCCAGCCTCTCTTTGCCTGTTACCTAGTTCAAAAGTCACGTCCACATTTTTGGGTATCTTCCCAGCAACTCCCCACTCTACTGGCACCAAATTACTGTGTTAGTTTGTTTTCATGCTGCTTATAAAGACATACCCGAAACTGGGAACAAAAAGAGGTTTAATTGGACTTACAGTTCCCCATGGCTGGGGAGGCCTCAGAATCATGGCAGGAGGTGAAAGGCATTTCTTACATGGCAATGACAAGAGAAAAATGAGGTAGAAGCAATAAACCCATCAGATTTTGTGAGACTTATTCACTATCATGAGAGTGGCATGGCATGGCAAAGACTGGTCCCTTGATTGAATCACCTCCCACTGGGTCCCTTCCACAACACATGGGAATTCTGGGAGATACAATTCAATTTGAGATTTGGGTGGGAACACAGCCAAACCTTATCACCCACCCTCTTCCAGGCCTTTCTGTTATGGAAAGCAAAAGCTGCAAGTCTTTCGGGGAGGGATAGAAATCCTCCTCTAAGACCCAGGCAAAGGTCCCCTGACTCTAGGGGAGGGGATAAAGCAAAAAACAACCAGAGAAGAGGGGATTCAGGAAACTGCCCCTTCCCCAGTCCCCATGTCCTCTTACACTGTGACTGAGAAAGGAGTAGAAGCAAAAAACAATTTCTTCCTGGGTGGAGGGTGGGGGCACAGAGAGCAGGCAGGAAATTCACCAACTCCCACCAGGAGCCTTGTGCTAAGTAGCAAGCTTTAGCAGGCTACTGCACGGGCATCAGGAAATGGCCCCTGTCTCAGGCAATGTTACACAGATGCTGTTGGAGGGGTAGAAGCAGAAACTGTCAGCCCCCAAGGAGAGGGAAGGAAATCCAATCAGGACAAAAGCCTGCAGGGCTACAGAGAAGAGGTAAGCATCACTGGGGGTCCCTCCTGACTAAGTATCCCCCACAGTCCAGCATTTGGCTGCAGAGGGTGGGTTATGGCACAGGAATGCTGAGAATTCCTCACCATAGTGGCCTGGCCCCTTAGGGCTCACCTAAGACTTGAGGCTCGAGTAGGAGAGCTGAGGAACTATACTAAGTCCAGCCCACACCTCACACCCAATAATGAGCAACAACAAAGAGGAAA